CAGACGGGTACAACGGGAAAAACTAGCTGAGTTGTAATGAAACGCCATCTATCGCGTTTAGGATAATACGCTTTTTCTTTTAGTCAATGGAAGCGCAACTTTTTATCGAATACGAATCGTTTTTTTCCAAACTTTGGCTGCGGCCATATTGGCGTTGTTTGCTTTTAGCTCCAAGGAGCCTGGAATAAACTTCCTGAGTCAGTTATTTGTTTTTCTTCATTAACGTCCTTCAAAAAGGCACTGGCCCAGTATCTCTTACAGTAAAATTCAGCCGTGTTCCTAGTCATAATTAACTTGTATTAAATGTTTTTCTCTAACGTTATTTTATTTGTGTTTAGTTTTCATCGTTACTTTTATATCTATGTTGCTTATTCTAGTTTCTTTTTCTTTTGTTTATTTCTGGTATTATTTTTGTTTCCCTATCTCATTTATATTTTGGCTTGAGTCATTGATATTACAGGTGATGGGCCTTTGATGACTCTCACTTTTCGTGAATAAACATGTTCACTCAGCTACTATTTGGACAAAAGGAAACAACGCCATTTTCGGCAGCTTAGCTGTTATTAGCAGGTAACTTCTAACTACGTATAATAATCTAGGAGGGATCGTGATATAAGGTTTGAAGTTTACTTTTCTGCAGTATCTCGCTTTTCATTTTTCTGATTCTTTTCTAGATACATGCTGACTAAAAGAACATTTTTCTTAACTTAATCGCACACTGACTTTGGCTTACGTGTAGTTATCTGACATATTCCTGTCTTTGATTTCATTATAGATATAAAGGTTTACTCTTCGTTAACCATGATACCTCAAACAATTCAAGCTGCAATTAACGCCGACCGTCAACAACAACACGCCGAAGGAACCACATTCTGGTTTAGATGGCTGGTACGCATAGTGGCCATATTAACAGGGATAGGTAACTTTTTATACGACTCAATTACAATATGCATTTCCGACGTAACAAACGCATGTTAGAATTTGAATGAGATTTTTTTCATCGGTAATTGTCATTTTCTAAGTATAACAAAAACTCATAAACAAAAATAAATGAGATTTTTAAAAGTTGTTTCGAGGGGAGACGAAGGCTAAGGAGAAGAATTTCTACTAAAAGTTTTTTCTTCAGAAATCTGTTGTATGGTACATAATTCGATGTGGTTTAGTCAGTTGATTCCGAATGTGTTATTTATTTTGATTGAAAATAAGAATTTTACATGAGAACCTTCGAATTTAGAAAACCTCTTGTGAGATTCAGGTAAGCTTACGCTATTTTTTGCTGACACCATCTTTGTAATGGACTCTAATTATCTGCTAGTGTGTATTGACAGCAAAAATTCTGTTCTAAAAATGAAAAAGCTATTGGATTGTAAGGACAAGTAGGAAAGAAAAGCTCATTTAATTGATAATTTGCTTTTTGCTATGAATTTATTTTGAAACTATTACACATTAAGAAGGATACATTATGCTTTTCGTTAAATTTCATTATTCTTTTAGTTTATATATATTTGATTTCATCTTATTCTTCCAGAATACATGCTGGAATAAATTCATTTTATAGTATCCGAAAACGTAAACTATCAAAAATCATAATATCAATTTTGTACGGAGTCGAAGATATGAACGCTTAGATGGCACTAAACTATAAAACTAAATTCACTATTCCTAGTCTATATGCTGTCCAACGAGTAAAAGTTCGATAACGTAATTTGAATGTGTTTAGGAGCGATCATTTGTGGTGTTATTGGAGCGCTGAGCATTTCCGCTCGATGCATTGCCGGTGGTATTATTTTAATGTAAGTTTTGCTCTTTACTTCACTGATTCTCAGCATGAATAAATAATACTTTTTGTCTTTTAGCTTTCTTGGTTTTGGTATGATCATGTTTGAAGTTCCAATATGTTGCCAATTTGTTGAATTTACTCAACCGGTCGCACGATTTTCAGAAAAGCGTCCTCCATGGCAAAAGGCTCTGCTTTACTCTATGTTAGTAATAATTACCATTGACTATATGTGAAATTTCAATGTACCTCATGATTTTTTGTTTTAGACCACCGTTATTACCCTTGATACTTTGCCAATCGTTCACTATTGTCTTTGGTTTTATCTGTTTACTTGTCAATGGCGCCGTGCAATTTATGTTAGCAGTGGGGAAAAAGTAAAATATAGAAACTAATTAAAAGTGCATAAAGATTCATTGAATTTTTTTGCTTAGAGCATCACGTGAAGAAATGTTAGCTAGAGCTACCGGAAGTCGAGGCCCGCCTGTGCCAGAAGGTCCTTCTGTGGTTCCAGCGTCGAACGAAAAACCGTTCGGTTACGCGGGTTTGGTATTCAACGAATTAGTGCCACCACCAAAATAGATCCTAAATCCTAAGGCAGCTGTTTGTCATGCCACTTGTTTCTCTTCAACAGTATGTTGGTTGTTGTAATTTTGTTTTATTCATTTATTTTTTTGTTTATCGTTGTTGTTCTTGTTTTTATCAACAAAATATCAGTTTTAAAATAAAAATCATAAGATTTTTTTAACTAACCCCATTTAGTTTAAGCCGTTATATTCATTTCCATTATTTAACTTGAACTCCAACAGTCAGTCATATATCTATTTATGTCGTGTACGTGTGTAATTTGTTTTATATGAATATTTTCCGCCATAACGAACCGTATTTTGCTTGTTTTCTCTCTTGTATTTTTCCTAATTTTATTTTCTGTGCATGACAATTGTTCTAGTTTTTGCTTATTCCCTTTCGTTTTGTGTTATTTACTAGTGATCTCTTTTTTTCCTCATCATCGAACAAATGAAAACTAGAATACTTTTACAAATGCTTTGGGTAACAAAACTTGAACTAATGTAATTTTATGTACGTGATACTACTAATAATAATAAAACTTATGGTTAGTTAAGCATAATTTATTTGTAAACAAGCATTGTACATTTGTTAACAATGCAAAAACGTTATATTGTCTGTTAAATAAAGAACAAAGCTACAAAACTGGTTTAAATACAATTAGAACTAGATTAAAAGCTTTGAACGAATCAAACACAGATGATCGTCCATCTTGTTCATACATCAATCAAAATTTCAAAAATCACGATGACTAAAGACACAGAAAAATATAGTAATGAGTTCAAAAACAATGAGGACTCTATCGATTAAACATTGTAACTAGGACTGAGCTTTTATAGAATATCGAAAAGGCTTCATATTGAACTATTTCTGAAAGTTGATTTGTACAACAAAGTCTTTAAAATGGCTAAAGACTTAAAGGATGGGGATAGGACATACAGACTAGCCCCCATCAAAGGCAACATTGACAAGGATTCTATAAAAAGAGTTCTTGCGTTAATTGATATTTCGAAATACTGGTTGTACTGTTTTAAAATTGTGTTATATTTATTAATTTTACCGATCATCTGCACTATATTGAACCGTCTATCTAGCTGCTAATTCAAATTTTGCTGGTCACCCTCTGATCTATGGAACCTGTTAATAAATTAAACATCGTCGACTTTTTATAATGTAAAGTTCTTTAAAAACCGTACTGTTTTTGTTGGTCGAAAAAACATCTATGATTAAATTAATGATATAGCAGTGAGTAGTCAATCCGGACAGTCAAAAAATAAAAGGTGTAATGATACAGGTAACAACCTTCAAATGTTTTAAAACCACATGGACAACCAAGACTGATATTTTTCACTAATTGGTACTACGTTAAATTAACTACCTTTTCTATAAACGACCAACTTTCAACAATTATCTGCTAGTGTATATTGATTTTGTATTCTTACCAGGTATCGTTGTTCGATAAACATTTTTTATTGATATGACAACATCATTCTAAAGATAAAACAGTCATAACTATCTAACTTTTCCATGGTTCAAAATACAACAAGACAAAGGAGATTGAGCCATCCGAGAAAAATGGATTTTCATTACTGTTAAAATAGACTTCGTGAGCAACATATTTGCGTTAATGCATGACACGCCAAAAAAAGACATGATGAAATTATGCCATAAAAATCAAAAAGAATGTGTGTTCCATGTTGAACGTTTTCTAATAGGATAATTGCGCGTATGTAGTCTAGCAGTACAATGAGAGAAAGGAGAAAATATTTTTTTCTGTTCAACATGTCATCGTATTTTAGACTTAATCTTTTTATATACTGTTAGTAAATTTTATTCCATTTTTAGCAAATGAACAAAAAAACGTTCAATTTAGTGTGCGCTCCACCATTCGGTGAACCGCAATTAACCGCAAATAGTTAAAACCGTACTGTTAGTTTAAACTATTTTATTTAAAATAAGAAGAAATAACTAGTAATGATCACAAGCGAGTGGAGAGACACTTATGATAGTGATCATTATTTCGTAACTGATGTTAACTGGTGAATCATCGTTTTTTTTCAATTAACTGTGAATGCTGGGCGGTTCTTTGACGAGGTGCTCTTCCATCATAACACAGTTGAATACTAGTGTTTATGACAATGTCAGTTTTTCTATTCATATTACCTACATTAATTAAAACAAACGTGTATTTAATAGTTAAATGTAAAAATTGTCGTAATAATTTATTTTTGCGTTAATTAGTTTACCTCTATCATATATTGTGAAAATTAAGTTTGTTGTTAGCTGTGCGAATGACGAAGCAATGATGATTGATTAATGCAACAGAGCAAATTTTTTCTGCGTATTTGATTGTTTGTTTTTTTATGCCATTTTCATCGATCAAAGTTAAAATATTTGTATCGGCATGTATAATCAGCCATTCATTTGACGGAAGAGAAATCAAATAACGTCTGTAGTTACTTTTATCTAGTTGAACCGACTGAAGTAAATTCATTGATAAATCGCGTAACTCGAATCGATTTTCGTCTTTTCTATTCCTGATTGTCAAACCAATTTGCTTCTTACTTTTAGAACAGCACATTCTCTGAGCACAACTATCTTCATCGCATGATGTGATAGTCGTCCATAAACTATCTACTTTCCAATTTGATAGATTCAATCGTGCAACAAGGCAAAATTCATTTATAATGTTGTAATCAAGAACTTTTAGCCTGGACTTTTCCATATTATATTCATCGATAATTTTTCTTAAACCCCTTCCTCAAAATCATGCTCACATGTTATGTGAAAGACATCAAGATGATTTCCATTCGTCACATATCATTAGCAAGGTTTGTTCTGTACACGAACAATTCCAAAAGGCTTTTTCAGTTAAACTTTTATTAAGTTTTATTTCAATGATTTTAAATTCCGTAGCATCAAATGTGAATAATTTACTGTCTGTTAAAATGATAAATTTTGATAAGTATGATGACCAACACATATCATTTATCTCTATGTTGTTCCATGCAATGGTTGTTTTTTCACATAATCGATTAATTAGCGAAAGATTTTTGTGATTGTTTTCGACATATAGAACAAAATCGTTTGAAGAAGCTAATCCAACGTATCCACCAGGTACAATGTCTATGCTTGCACTAGCTTTTACACTCAGTTTATCGAAACGAACTTTAGTTGAAGGAATTTGCTGTAGTTCTACTTCGATCATTTTCGGCCATTCTATGTTTTTTGTGTAAACAGTAAGTGCACAATTTAACTTCTCGTTACATAAATCTTGATTTATCTCTTCCAATTCTTGTTCCCACCGATTTAAATCTGGTTCAGCATAGCTTTTTGCCCCTTTTTTCACTCGAATAGTTTTTGATACAAGTTCAAATTTTGTTTTTATATCATTCATTGTTCGACTTGATAATTGAAGTGCTTTAAATCGAGCTTCCTGTGCAGCTGCTTTAACTTTCTTGATTGTTTCTTTCTCCCATTGATCGATCTCAGTAAAAGCTCGGATATTATTTAAATTTGTAGTTGGCGATGTTGAACTAGTCAATTCTTGTTGAATTATATCATGATCATAAATCACTTTATCTAATTGTACAGCTAATTGCTGACGATGCTGAGTGAAATGATCTTCACAAAACATTTTTTTACATCCTCTACAAATGCAAACACCTTCTTCACACATTTTACATTTAGCGGTAGCAGTAGATAACTTCGACAGAGAATATTGATCAGCCATCTTTACCTATAAACAAAACAAACATGTCAGAAAATACTTTTAGGGTAAGTAACTCTCCCTAATGAAACACTCATATAACTCGCGATTCGGTGTACAGTACCAGCCAAAGACTGGATCGTTCAGGAGATATGTGCATTAAACCATTTCTCAACCGAAATTTGACGATCTTTCTATTCATTACCCTCGAAAGCTCTTTTAAACTGTTATGTCTACTACATAAATTTCGTACTTATATCTCATTGATGCAGTCTGTTACTATCGATGATCATTTTTGAAATTCAAATAAATTCTATCTATAACATACCCAATCCACTGCCCACTTGACCATTTTTGAATGGAAAGTTCGTAGCGTCGGTTCCTTACATCAGCAACATTTTCTCAGATTACATAGAAAAGTCACTTAGATTTATGAATATCCTATTTGTTAAAAAACATTTTTAAACAGCATGCAAAAAATATTAGAATGCTAGGAGTTGTATATTCAAGGTCTATTAATATCATATATATCTATGGATCGGGATATAAAAAATTGCGATTCAGTACAAAAACTGCCAATTAATGATTAAATAAAAGATTTATCGGTTTTATACAGTGAATGTTGATTGAATGCTTTTTAAACTCAGCGAAGAATACGATAATATTAATGATTAAACTATGTTGTCTTCTAACACCTTTAAGAAGCTTCAATTAATCTTAATCTATTTTCAAACTAAATATTGCCAGAGGTGTATCCAGAGCAATTAAATGGTTTTATTAACAAGTTTTTTACTTACGTTAACTAGATAGAAATTTTTGTTACTTCGTTCTTCTACTGTAATAAATTTATTCACGTGAAAGATATTGTTATTCGACTTTACTTTCATGACTTTTACATATTTAAATAGAAATGAAAAAACAATTTTTCAATCATAAAGTTTCTTCCACTTCTGCAAATGGACGAGAATGATAGATCTTTAAATATTTAAACGCAAGAAGCTAACGAGGGAACATCGTCAAGTGTGTCTGTAGGATTTGGACAAAATATATGCCATTTATTAGAGTCAAGTACGCTAATCACAAATATAATAATTTTAGCTGTTACTATTAGATGACAGAGTCTAAGTTAGGACAATTGTAAAATAGGCAGTTTGTAAAAAATTCAACATACTCTCTTTCTGTATGGACCTCATTATTCATTACTAATTACTTGTGTTATAAAGACATAGTATTATTATCATTCTTTCTTTAAGATATAAGGTCAAAACTGAATATTAAAAAGGCATAGATTAAAATGTATTTTTTCCAAACATTTTACGTTAGATCCTTCTACAAAATCTATCAAAAACTGAACTTCAAAAGATACTTTACAAAAGTGTACATTTGGCTAATACAACTGATTAGTAAATATAACAGAGGGAATTTTTTGACAGTAAAAAATTTAAATTGTTTTAACTCAGCGGCCATCTAATAGTGATAGCTAAAATTATTATATTTGTGATCAGCGCACCTGGCTCTACTAAGTAGCATATATTTCATTGAAATTCCAGAGACATGCGGAAGGATGATCCGTCGTACAACAATCTTGGATAAAAGCTATTTTTTCCTTTTTGTTACCGTAATTTTTAACTTATATTTAGAACTTTCATGTTATAATTTACTTAGTAAAATTCGATTTAATCTTAACAATGGTTACAAACTGAGTGCATAAATGTTGATTTTTTTCTCAGGTATTTTGTATTGTGTTATGAAAAACATTGAATTAAAATTTAAGTGAAACGACGATGAGGGAAAAAAGCAACAATTCAAATTCATTTGCTCAGATATTAGGAATAGTCAAATGCTGGAAGTTTTGCTGTGTCAACAATTCTTATATTTGTATTTATTTAGTTTTCTTCATCAAATGCAATAAACAACATATATAACCAACATTCACTTTGATGTTAACATAGTTATATTCAAAAAACGAAGACAAAACAAAACAAAACTATAATTTTATTATTTTGTCGTTGGTTTTGCTTGTTGTTTGTCGTCAGTAGTTTTCTTTGATTTCATAACCATTGCCACAATACGTTGTTCTTCAATCAAAAATGCACGTACAATACTAAAAAATAGAAAAGAAAAAAACAAATATTTAAAGTCTAAAATCATTCCTGTAGTGCAGGGTAGACTACAAGAATAGTAGTTTTTAAATGAAATACTACAAAAAGAAATCAATGGTTCTAGTAAATAAGAACAAAAGCATCTTCTGCCTGGAGAAACAGTTTCATCCCATTATAATTGAATTGATTATTATTTACCGTAGACGGACACATTTTGGACAACGAGAACCACCATATGTACGAGAAACTGTTTTAAGTCGTTTTGACATTGACATACGTTGTTTCGGTCTTGATGCTTTAATCTAGAATAGAGAACTTCTACGATAAAATTACGTTCATCACTAAAGCGATAGCAAAGCTTACTCCATGTAATGGAACTTTGCAATCACCACATTTTGGTAATGTACCACGTTTTTTTATATACTGATAAATTAATTTACCACCTTAAAGCAACAATAAGAAAAAACAAATGTTAACTTAGTGCTTAACATTTTAGTAATGAATAATAATCAGTTATTTACCTGGGGTCTTGACACTAAAAAATAAACAAACAATTACAGATCAATAAAACTAAAAAATCAAAAACTTACACTTTAACACGATTTGACTTTGTGTTATATGATAAACGGCGACGATATGTTAAACGTTGAACCATTGTCGACCTTTACAACAAACAACTATGGTTGATCTATAATAGTAGATTACAATAGTTTTTATAATTTGATTCTCTTTAGATCCTACTCTACACATAAAGCTGAAAGATAAAAGTAACTGGAAAAAACATTAATTACAGACAGACAATAAGTAATATTTGTTTAGTTTTTCGATTTCACAACTCAATAGATGTAGAGTTGTCTGTATCAACACTGGGTGTTGCCGTCGATATCATTTTAGACACAACTTTTGTCCTAAAATCTTATTCAAACGAAAAACTCACATATAGCATCAACAAATATCGCATTGAAACATCTCAGATCTGTTCGCAACTCGAGTAGTCCCTCGCTAACATTTCCTTTGTTTACGTTTAGAAGAACAGAGTAATTTTGTACAAAAGTACTATGTTGGTAAGAAGTGTAAAAAATTGTTGTTAAATTGTAAGAAGGACAACAAACTCAATAATCAGTTACACAAGATAATCAACAAGCAATACAGCAGAACAATTAGTATTAAATCTATCTGCACATAAAATGAAGAAATAAATAAGTAAAACAAATCGAGATTTTAAGATAAGCTTTTATTTAAAATTTATTCCATAGAACGCAAGTATCAATATAATCTAGGTCGATTCTGGCGCTCATTCAATAGGATTTTGGCGAAAAGTTATCTTGACCGTTTTTGAAATAAATACAAAAAAAATCTAGAAGTCATCTTTTTTGCCATTCTGTTTCTTTTTGAATAAAATAAAAGAAATAAGACCGCAAGGAATTGAAGGATATCCTAAGACTCAGCTCAAATCTAACGTTTTTCGGCCGCGATAAGTTTAACGCTGAGGTTAAGCGCACAGCTCTACACTTAAACATAAAAAAGAAAAATAATCCGCTGATCGTACAGTTTTGCGCTTAACTCTTGCGTAAAACATCTCTCGACTAACTGTTTCGTTCTTAATATGTTCAAACTTACTGTGACTGGATAAAAAACCAGCCATAAATAAAACAGTTGAACTGCAAGACCTCTTTAAATGAGTAAAAAACATCATTTATACTGACTACAATGGGTCACGTAGAAGCTAGCGACTGACTTTTATGCTATTTATTAACATTTTAATGCATCAATTAGCCACATGTGTGTCGCACTATGATGAAAAAAAAGGTCGTTGTCTAGTAGTAGGCTGGAATAATGGCTATCCAACCGAAAGTGTTAAAGAAACCGATCGCGTCAGGCAACGACTTTTCTTCTTCGACGAGAAAGCATGAAATTCGAATTGAAGTAGGTTATTATTACCATTATCCTAAAAATAAAGGATGAATCTGTGTAGACGAGAGAAAAGACAATCTTGGTAGGTATAACTTTTTACTTTATTGTGTCGTATCAAAAAGAAGATTTGTGGTCTATGATACGTTTGACAAAAAGTTTTCAGAGTTTTAAAATATCTATCGTTTCTAATCAGTCACGAGTTTGTGAATACAATACTTTTGTTTCTTGCAGATTTCATCATGATAAACAGATTGCAACGTGGGCGAACTACGCCATTAAACTCTACAAGTGGAGGAGCAACCGCAACAGCATCTCCATCAACTTCACTTCATCTCTCTGCTCAAGAATCTGATCAAGCTTTCCTTGGTGAGTCACTATTTGATATTTCTCTTGTTTGTTTTGAAAAGATTTTTAACTGAATTGTAGAACGTTTGCGAGTGAAAGAAATAATATCGGATGCAATTCTTAACGTAGCAAGATGTAAACCTGATGATCCAATTGATTTTTTGTACAATTAGTAAGTCACTGACACCCCCACTTCTGCATCATGATAAGGGAATTGTCCGTACCGTATGGTGATTTGGACTTTGCCAACCAACTTTACATACAAATTTGTTTATTCGAGTGTAAAGAAATGAGACATTATCGTCATTGTCCGATGGTCAGATAAGGAGATAGAAGAAATTTATATAAGAAAAGTTTTCGGTACACTATTGAAAAAAAGCTTTGTTCAACTATCGAAAGTTTTCTTATATAAATTTCCTCTATTTCCTTGACTGACCATCGAATAATGATGATAATGTCTCATTTCTTTACACTCTAATAAACAAATTTGTATGTAAAGTTGGTTGGCAAAGTCCAAATCACCATACGGTACGCACAATTCCCTTATCATGAGACATAACAAAATTTAGTTTTGATGCTCAATGTCAAACCAAACCATTCGATCGCGTCCTCACTCGTCTGAGATTGGCTGATCCCAAACATTCCTCGTTCGAATTATTATTGACAGAACTCTATCAGAGTCTTACAAATGGTAATTTCTAATTAGACTATTAGTTACTATATATATTGGTATTCTAGTTGTTTTTTTCTTTCTATAAGTTACGACAGATGTTGTTCTCAACGGTGATTTATACAACAAATTAATCGGAAATTTAGCCAAGTATGTATGTGTTACTGTTAATCGTTAGCGATCAGTGTGATTACTTGAATATTGTTTTTATTTTAGCACAATAACAATTAACGAACATCGTTTATCATTATTAGCCAATATTCATTTAAGACCGAATGATCCAGTTAGTTTAAACGTGTTTAGTCACGGAATACGTGCTATACTTCTTTACAAAGGTTGGTACTTCGAAGGTCAATAGTTGATACTCCGCCCTCCGCAACGTTTCAGGAGTGGCCATTGTTCTAATCTGGTTTACCCCTCCAATATCTCTCATTATTATAGTGGTTGATTTTATTTAATATCTTAAAGAGTCGTGCGTCACATTGATAAAAAGAAGCTTATATGAGCGGTTTGTGTTGCTATTGTACCATTTCTGTAAAAAAATGAACTTTCGTGTGAACTTTGTTTGACTCTTTCAGTAAATTCTGACAGCCCAAACAATGACAAAAAACTAATTTCCACGACTGCCACTTCCATTTCTGTCAACAAATGAGTCTTTGCTACGAAAAGCATAACAATCCCCAAGCCCCTCACGATAAAGACGACATAAAATGACCTTTAAATCTTTGTTCTAATGCATTAACCGGTAGATCTCAATGAGACGTCTATAATGATGTATAATTCAATACATTTTATTGCCAATTAAAGTTCCTCTTATATACAAACTTGTGAGATAATGTGTCATTCAGTATTCTTCAGCTCTAAAATGCCAATTACTACATAAAAAAATTATCAAACATGCATGACTATAATTTTCTCGTCGAGTTCTATCGAATAGTATACGATAATCCTAAAGTCAGTGTGTTTCTCATGGAAATATAACGAGTTTAACCTCCTGAGACATTTTTATAGTAAAACTTATTTTTCTCAGGAACAACACAATATTTTGAGTCTAAAATGTTGACATACGTTCTACATCACCGGAGAAAAAATGATAAAAAAATCTCTGAGAAATGTTGGGTATTAGCAGAAATGTCAGAAAAACAAAATCGAAGATCGCGCGAGATATTTAGTGCGTAAAGCCTGTTTCAGAAAAAAAATTATCACTTTTTACAGTAAGAAGAGCATTGTTGTAGTTAATGTACGTAAGGCAAATACCTGTGCAAGTACTTGGGTTAAGTAATGAGGACGGTACTTGTGGACTTGTTAAAGTAAATTACTTATCAAGTACTTGAGAAAGTACTTGACAAGTAAAATGTAAGTACTTTGCTGACGCAATGCAAGTAAATTTACTTGAAAAAGTTTAATCAAGTACTTATTCCATTTTTTTTTATTTTGTATTTTACACATATGCTGGAGCTATACCCTACTTTTGTAGAGAAAATGCATGCACGGTTCTAAGTTTGTTCAAATGAGTAGAAATATATAAGTTTATTTTATCAGTGTATAACGATTGATATTATGGTGTTTATATATAAGTGATCAATGCAAAAGAAAAGGATGATTGACTTGTCTCAGTACTTGGCTGAAACAAGTCAAGTTCTTCCTCAAGTACTTGCCAAATGCTTAACTTGTCACGTACTTCCCAAGTAACCAAGTACATCCACTAGAGTAATCTTTTACTTTTTTTTATCAAAATGATTCTCAATCTGTAGGCTATCTTTTGGCTATTTTCGATACAGGTTACATTTAGTTTTAGCTGAGAGCTGCGACATTCAATCTCACGGGACAGAAAACGATCAAAGTATTTGTAATAACATTATTTTGATTTATTTTCATAAAAAAATTGAACTAAAAAGTTAATTCATTTATAGATTTCGAGAAACTTAGTCTTCTGCTTCAAATTATTTATAAGACAAAGATTTAGAATTCATTCTATCTTAATTAAAAAAATTCATGTTTCATCTACGCATTCGACAATAGAATTGTTATATCCCAGCGACAGAAGCAGCTAAAGAGCTGTTCTTTATAGCGCTAGTGAGCAAAGGTTGGACAAATAAAATTAAAAAAAAATTTAAGATCCATTCAGTAGAAAAAAAGTTATTGCATTTTTAGTTCTCGGATATCAACGGTACAATAGCAGCGCACACCACTCATATTGAGCATCACAGTAAATCTATGAATAAAATAGTAGGTAGGCAAAAAACAGTATGTGTAAATTGTTCTATGATCAGATATAGATAATTCACATTAATGACGATATTACGGACGGTTTGTCTGTTTAGAAGTTGCTGCTGATCGTGAGCCTTGATGATATCGATGAGGTATAGCATCCGACGCTGGTTTAGTTGTTGTCACTCGTTTTGCTGTCGGTGTTGGAAGTATCGCTGCGCTATGAGCAATTTCTTCTTCTAATGATTCTAATTGTTTGGCACTTTTCATACTTTTATATAATTTCCAATCATCTGGTTCTTCATTTTCAACTATATCCAAATCAAAGTCAGCATCTGTTCGTCTTGTACTCTTGTGCATTAGATATTGTCTTGCATGTTCACTTAATTTTGGTTTCAATGCTACCATCAGATAATCTAAAATGTCTGATCCCCCAGCTGATGACAGTTCTTTTGCCAAATCAATGGCTGTCATGCCTTCCCAGTTGTTAAGTAAAGGATTTGAACCGTATTCAATTAATGTTTTAACAATGTCTAAATGATTGAACATTGTTGCTGCATGAAGACACTAAAACGAAGATGATAATAGAATTAATAGACAAAATAAGCACAAAAACCTTACAGATTCTCCATTTTTTAAGAGGTTTATATTTGATTTATATATTAAAAGTTTTTTAACGATAGAACCATAACCTTTTTGACACGCTTTAAACAACGGTGTTGCTCCATCTTCACGCGATTGATCGATTGTTGTCAAAAATTTTTCATCATTACCCCGTTTTTCTAACAAGTAGTCGATTATGTCTTCATGACCATGTTGAACGGCACAGAAGAAAGCTGTTACACCATCTAGTCGTTGCGCAACGACATCAATTTCTTTATTTGATTCGATTAGAATTTGTACAACTTTCAAATGTCCATTTTGGCATGCTAACATTAGAGCTGTTGTCTGATCATTCATTTTTGCACTGACATTTGCATTATGATCCACAAGTAATTTAACAACATCATCATAGCCTTTCTCACTTGCAACGTGTAACGAGGTAGCACCATCAAATGTTGACATATCAACGACACTTTTATTTTTTAACAATAATTCAACGATGCGTGTGTGCCTCTGGGACGAAGCGAAATAAAGAGCGGTTGATCCAGTCAAACGACGGGCATTTACATCACTACCATTTTCAATCAAAAATCTACTGCAATCATAATGACCGCGAGCACAGGCTAATAATAGAGCCGTTGAATTTTCTTTATCCCGACAATCTATCGGCAAACGAGCTTTTGTTAAAAGTTCTTTTAATGTACTCAAGTTACCGCTCAATGCAGCCACATGAAATTTTTGATTCAATGCTCGATCGGGTGACGTTGTGGATGATGTCGTATAATGAGAGGGTGATTTTGAACGAGATATTGAACGATTGTTGGCGGGAGTAGTTAACAATGATGTATTTGGAAGTAACGAATTTGTTGTTGTGTCAGCCGGAAGATTTTGGCTGTTTGATGATTTTGGGTCCGTATTATTATCAATTGCATCTTTGTCACCATCGCCCTCGCCGTCTTCATCTTGTTCGATAAGGGTATTAGAATTGTCGAGTTGATCAGCCATATTTTGTAAACGCATGTAATTAGTTGATCTAAACATATAAAGATATTTCAATCAGTAAAGTGCTTAAAAGCTACTTCTTTTAAAAGAGATGAAAAAGTGGTAAATAAAATTTCATCAGATTCTCATTGAATAACTTTTCTTTAACCAACTTTTCTTTGCGCACTATCTCGAATAAAATAGTTCAGAGCAGTTAATATTCATTCTATTCTCCAGAAAAAAAACAGCATATTTTACAAAAAACTAAAAATAGTTAAATATCATTACCAGAAACGAATAAAGGTTTCGTAACTTTTATCCAAAAACGTCTAAAAAGATTAGTAAACGGTTTCTCGAGTCTATCAAACGTCTTATCGATTTAAGGTGAGTGTAGATTAAGAATTCTTTTTTAAAAGTGTCATTTTCATTGAAACAGTCACGAAATCTCACAGTTCAAATAACTACGAGACTTATCAATCAGTAACCTTCCTGAGAAATCAACTCAAATCATACTGTGAGCGTAACTATATATTTTTCATTCAATAAACCGTTTTGGTTTCCAAATAGATAACTTTGATTTCAGAGTGGTAATAAGAATTATTTTCTTATTTTTTTCAAAACCTTCTCTCTGGCATTTAAGATATTTTTTTTCCCACATAAATCTAAAGATTTAGTATCAGTTATAAACTCTTATAAGATTTCTAAAACGGCTACTAAATCTAAAACGGTTTAGCAGCAACTGGACATAACTATTTCGATTTTTTAAAATACGCTTGTTTTTAGAGAGTCCTGAGCATGTATGACTTTTTACATCATGATCAAACATTACCACACTTTTTTATTGATCGATTGTTGTTGATAAATTAATGCTGTGCAATTGCAATAAATTAACAATAAGTAAAAAGAGGAGTGGTTTTAATTCTTGAAATGCTGTTCGAGAGCTCTGTTACACACACAGCTTTTTCTTGTTGGTAACAAGAAATAATATCAGAGACAACAAGAAAAAGAGGGAAAACAACAAAAAAAAAAATCATGTCTGTATATGTATTTGTGTATAAGAGAACAAGAATAGTCGTGTAGAATACAGCGAAATAGATAAAAGACATGATACACACTTAACGGTAACCTACTAAATGTGTTTGTGAGTATGTGTGTTTCGGAAATTCTTTTTCTAGTTAACGGTAGCGATGCGTTTATGCTTTTAGTTTCTTCTTCTATTTGGGAAAAAAAGCAGAAGAAATAGCATAAGTTAGGTTTTTCTTTGTCTTTTCTATAACAGAAATATTTATTCAAACACGACGCTATTGGGATGATTTTTTTTTTGTCGTTCATCCTAAGATAGAAAGAGAAAGATGTTACATATTGTATTTTGTACAATTTTTCTGTTATGCTTTATATATTTACATAATATCATACTCAATGGTGATGATACAAGTTGATTTCAATAATATACTAGTTACCATTAGAAAGAAATTAAATTGTTTATGACGAAACGTCAAATGTTACTCAGGGGGTGTGTGAGACTGTCAACAAATGGAGCGTTCAATTATTTAAAACTTTGATTAGACGTTCTAAATCATTAACAATTGAATCTCTAATGTTACAACATTAGAATTTTTTAAATATTTGTAGATAATCACTCTAAATATAACATCAATATCTATCGAATACATACTGTTGAATGATACTTCTAATATAGAAACTCCTTTTATCATGATGTTTTCTTCGCTATAGGATCAGAATACAAACTGTTCACTGCTATTTTACAAAAACTTCTATTCTATTTTGTTCATTTAGTATAGCTATTCCTTATATAAAAAAAAAACATGTCTTCTATTTGTAGAATACGAAAAAATTGTTCAAACATTTTATAATCAATTAGCGCTCTATTCCGATAATAATGTTGATCATACACTATGTGAACTATTGATTCAAACATTGAATGAATCATTGAAAACGAATAATGATGCATACAGGTGATAAAGAATTCTTATCATTTTCATTATCTCACATTGTACACTGTAGAATTCTTATCATTTTCTTTTTTTCAGTCTTCATGAATCTGTATTAAAATTGAGTCCATTCAATTTAAATCAATTATTAGAACGATCTTATTCTCGATCGACAAATTCAAAAAATCTAACAAAAATATCTTATGATGAATTTCTAAAATTAGCATTTACAACATATCTAAATTCAATGAAAAAGATTACTTAAAATGAAAGATGTTTTTTCGTGACAAATCTAGTCAATTTGTGCAAATTTAAGTTTTTTTGTTGGTTGTTTTTAAATTTGTTATTGTATATCTTCTATAATAAAAATATCTTATAGATTTCGAATTGACTCGAACAGGATATTATTAAATGTAAAATAGAGAATGAAGATTGAATTTTATGTTTTTATCTTTCAAAATGATAACTTTTTGAAGATATACTAAAATGTCGATATACGATGACGACGTTCTCGAAGGTGAATTAGAATATGCTGGCGATGAAGATATGAATGCCACAGAAATTATACAAATGTTATATGAAAAAGAAATGGCGGATAATGATGATATTGAAACAGATGATGATGATGATTATGATGATATAAATAAAAATAGTAATACAATTTCAAAAAATATTGGAAAAAAGCAGTCAATACAGGAGACAATTGTTCATATTCAAAATGTAGGAAGAACAAAAAGTCGTGGTTCATATGGTGATGAAAATAATTTAATTGATTACGTTATTGATGAAGAAAAAGAAATTGGGGGTGCTAAAGATAATTCGGATGATAAATCAAGTACATTTTCAAGGTGAGGCTATAATTTTTTATAAATTATTATTAAGAAAATAAAAGATGTATATGTTTTTAGCGTAATGAATGATGATAATAATGATGATGATGATGAATTAGAAGATCAAACTGACAAACATACAAATGAAAAAATACTGGCCAAAGTTGAAGCTCAAATGATTCGTGCCAGAGCATTTTTAAATCGACTTGATAAAACGTTGAGAGAAAAAGACAGTATTGTTAAACAAGCTCGGTAAAAATCAGATTGTCAAGTATCGATTATGTAAAAAATAATTATTTTATCTAAATTGCAGAGAATCAGTTTATATAAGCAAAGAAAAATTAACCAAATTGGAAAAAGAGAAGGATAAGTTGGAACGAAATATTGAAACAGCACAAGAAAAGCAAAACATGTAAGTTAAAAAGTTCAACTAGATTGTACTCTACATAAATTTTCCCATTTTTTTCACAAAAGAGATGGCATTACTTGAATTGAATATCGATAAATTTTATTCTAGCACAATAACAAATCGTTTATGCAGTGAACATCAACGTTTATTAGACGAAATTGAAATTGAACACGATGTTTTGAAACAATTTCAGAAGAAATTAGATGAAGCTGAGTATGTGTTTATGGACTTTTTTTTTGTTTTATAAATAATCAAATGACTCTTATTATTCTTCACTAATAATAATTTGTAGATATACTCGTACAAAAGCGTTACTTGAACGATCGAAATATGCATACGAAGAAACGGAATTAAAAGTAAAAGAAGACAAATTATTGAAACAAAAGAGAGAAATAGCTAATTTAAGAAAACGAAATGAAGATTGGAAAGTAACACAAATAAAAAAGAGTCATTTATCAGCATTAAAGTATGAAAAAATTAGTAATAAAACTATTTTTAGTTAAAATAACAACAATGCTTGTATTTCTACTATAGGGATGAAAAACGAGCTTTAGAAGAACAAGCAAAAAATCATAAACTCGCCATTGAAGAAACAAAAAGAAGTCAAAAAGTGGCTAATAAATATCTTCAACAAACATTTCAAAAGTAAATTTAATTCATTTTAATTAATAATATTAGAAATTTTTATTTAAAATTCTATTTTCTAGAGTTCGAGATGAAAAACGTCTTGAAGAAGAACGTAGTCGAAATGATATGGAAAGAAAAATTAAAAGTTTATTGAATTTACGTGATGCAATTGAACATAATAAAGTAATAATCTAATGATATTTAATAGTAAAAGATGATTTATTATATATATTTGTTCAATAGGATACATTAACAGTTCAAACTGCTCAAAAAAGAGCTTTAATTAAAGAACAAGATGAAATATTGAAAAAAGAACAAAATGATATTGAAAATCAAGGTCAAAATGCATTATTCTATTTACTACGAAAACAAAAAAATGATCAATTAAAACAAATACAACAGTAAAAATTAATTTTTGTTTAGAAGAGAATGAATGTCATCATTTAAAATTTTTTTTCGTTTTTCTTTAAGAAAATTTGAAGAACAACAAGAATTAAATAGATTAGACATTGTCGATAAACTTTTAAAAGAGCAAAATGAAATTGGACGAAAAAGAAAATTATATCCAGAATATTATGCCGATAAAAAACAGCATATGTCAAAAGTAATATTCATTCTATAGTAAATATATATAAATAATTTAATTTAATTTTTTTCATTTATGGTCAGATTGTTAGTGCACATCCATCAAAAAATATTCCATCATTACAAATATCAAAAATAGAACGACAATCGAGCGAACCAACACTTATTAAACAGACAGTTAGTCAGTTAGTATATATGTTTATATTATATTCATCACTAAAAAAAATATGTTTACCTTCATATCTAGTCGATTATTGAACCATCATCATCATCTCAATTAGACATTCCCTATTCAATCGATCATATTGAATATGCATCCTCATTAGCAACATCAGCATTTGAAAACAATGAATTTGACGATGATGGTAATTTGAACAATCATTTCATTCTCTATGCTCTGGTATAAATAAAACTTTAACTAATATAGATGATGCTGATTTGGCTAAACCCGAATTTGATGGCTTATGGGATAAAGAGCCTATTAAACCGTCGGATGATCCATTATTTAATCGTTCAAAACATTATAAATCAAAAATGGATAAAGATATTCTTCAACGAACGTTAGCAAAACTAAAAGATGGTATTGTACGTGAACAAGTGGTTGGTACAAAAAAATTTAAAGGCATACCATTCAAATCCGATCCAAAAATTATTCATTTTAAAGTATTAAATACAAAAAATCGTTAATAATCATGTAGAAGTACACTTTTTGTTTTGTTAAACTAGGATTTTGATGTGGGAAAAACATACCGAACAAAAGTAACATTAACAAATGTAACGTTGACAATAAACACATTAAAATTAGTTGGTTTATCAGAAAATTTGAAAGATTTCATTATACCAAAGTAAGACTATTTAATTTCATAAAATAACTATCTGATCATAATAAATGTTTTTCATTTCTTACTTAGATTTGAAGCACCTGGTATGATTTCTGCTGGCATGTCTTGTTACATGACAATAACATTTGAGCCAAAGGTACAATTGATGTTGTTGATACAATATTTATCATAATCAATCTTGATATACGTTTTAGTTAAATGAAGATTTAAATGGTGAAATAAAATTTTTAGCTCAAACTGGTCTATTTACCGTACCAATTCAATGTTCAACTAAAAAATGTGATGTAAGTAATATAAATATTATATTGCTGTTTTTTTAACTATATATTTTATTTAGCTTTCATTGGATAAAACATCTGTTGATGTTGGCACAACTGTTGTTGAAGAAAAGTTATATCAAAGTTTAATATTAAAAAATGCTGGTGCTCTTGGAACAAATTATCGTCTTATTAAAACAAATTTGCTACAAATTGAAAGAGAAAATGCTGATCTAGAAACCAAAGAACAACAACGACAAGCAGATTTTTGTAAACCAGTATCAAGAACAAGTGTAGAAAAGGAACATTCAACGCTCTCAGGTTTGATATACGATAAAAATTGTTTATTTAGACAAAAATTAGTTCATCTTACGTTTTAGATACAAATAAGCTAATAGAGACAGAATATGTTCAAGTTTTTCATGTTAAAGTAAGTGACGTTAAACATAGATAGACATGAACTAATTTTTTTTAAATTCAATAGATACCAGAAACTGGTATTATTGCTGCTCATGCAAGTATTCAAATTGAAATTGAATTTTCATCGCCAGTAGCCGGAAAATTTGAAGAAAATTATACCATTGTTTTTGATGATAAAGATTCACCAGAAGTAGGTTTAAAAACAAACATTTATCTTTTGATCAAATAATAATTATTTAATTTATCATTTTATTTTTAGTTACGATTTGTTCTTCATGGTCAATCTCTCGATGTTCCTGTATGGATTGAAAATCCAAATATTGATTTTAAAATTTGTATGTTTGATCGTCTGTATCAAGAGGGTCTAGTATTGCGTAATCGAAGTAATGCAGCTTTACGTGTCACAATCGATTTACCTAGTCAACTAGAAAAACATATTGAAATAGTTCCAAAAACTGCGTATATTCAAGCAAAATCAAGTTTTTCATTACAAATTAAATTGATGGCTCGTCAAACACTGACAAATGATGACACAAACTATTTTGATCAGAGTGTAAATACATTAATTATACCTTTAGAATTAAAAGTTGCTGATCAAGTAAATGTATTCTCTATTCATTTTTGAATATATTTTATCATTATTATTTTTAAAATTTAGACTCGTACAGTTCCATTTACAATTAGTGCCATATTGACAACAAGTAATTTAGAGTTTGATATTGATAATATTGATTTTGGATGTTGTACAATTTATGAAAGTGTTGTGGCAAATATTAAATTAACAAATAAATCATTGTTAGCTCAACCATTTGGTTTTATCAATTTGCCAGAAGTATTTATCTATTTTGTTCTAACTTTTTTTATTTTGAAAATATTTTCATTAATCATATTTCAATTATTTCTAGTATATTCAAGTACAACCGAATGACGGATTTGGAACATTATTACCTGAAGAAACGATAGATTTGAATGTACTTTTCAGTCCATCAGCTACAAAAGATTACAAGCATACATTGATATGCAAATCATTAGTAAATCGGTAGGTCTACAAAAATCTTAGAATATACAAAATTGTAGAAAGATCACAATATATTTTTTCTTCTTCTAGTGAATTTAAAATTAATTGTTCGGGTACCGGTGTATTAACACCATTACGTCTGTCGTGTACAACAATCAGTTTTCCATCTACACCGATCAATGATCATTCATTGGCTTCATTCTACGTTGAAAATACACATATGGATAAAAAACATTATCAACATGCTGTGCCACGTATTGGCAATGGTACGATATTCTCGTTTTAAATAGTGATAAATAGAGATTTATTTATGTTTATTTTAAAAAAATAAAAGGCGAAATTCCTCCGGTTGGACCCACTTCGTTTGAATTTGAAATACCCGATAATGCACCAATTACAATTTCACCAGCAGTTGGTACCGTCGAACCAGGAAAGGTAAATGACATGTAGTTTCCATCTCTTTTAGTTATATAATCGCATTTCATTTTCTTTGAATAGCGGCAAAAAATTAGTGTTCGATTTTCACCGAAATTAAATAATAAAGATATTAGTTTAAAATCAGTTGAAATAAAACAAGCTGAATTGAAAAAACAACTTGAAGCAAAAGAAAAAGATTCATTGAAAGGAGAGGTATTAATTCTTTTTTTACTAAATAAACGTTAAATTTTGAGTATATCTATAATTTCTAGACGAAAAACAAGGGTAAAATTGATGGCAACACAACAAATGCATCTAAACGAAAATCAGAGGTTCAAATAACCGATATTAGTCCCGCTATTGAAAAGTAATTATAAACTGAAAGTCTTATTTGAAAAATCATATCTCTTCTTTGCTTTTTCTCATAGTTCAAATGACTGGTGTCTAGCAAAATTATCAATGATGAAATCATTTAATCCCTCATTAAATTCGTTTTTGATTCCTTGTTACGTTGCATCTGGAATATGTGATAAACCAAATGTTTTAAAATATGAGTAAGTTTTCGAATTATAATCATATCTATAACAGACACAATATGTCTTTTGAAGTATTGCAAATACATTGTATCTACAAGTCAATTGTCCCGTTGTTTGTCCAGAATTAATTTTACTATCTGATTATGGTCAAACTACATTGGATTTTGGTGCCATATCTGTCGGTCAACGAACTACAAAAACAGTATTATTACAAAATGTTTCAGATAAAACAATTGATGTATGTTAAATAATTTTAAAATTCTTATTTTAAATATTAGCGTTCGTTCCTTTCATTTAGCTACATAGTTCGTATTTAAATACTGAAGGACCATTTCGACTGACAAACGCATTACGATCTATAGAACCAAATGGTACACAAGCAATTAAATTTAGTTTTCAACCAAATGCAATAACAGAAGTATATCAAATATATAATAATCATTTGATTATTAATAATATTATCTTTTATATTTCTATAGTTTCTTGAAACTATCGAATTAACAACAATGAGTTCAAAATTACATTTATGTTTGAAAGGAAATGGAGTTAAACCAAATGTTCAACTCTCATTTGATACAAATATATTTTCGATGGGATGTGTTTTAGCAAAAGATCGTGTTGAAAAAACATTTCAGGTTCAAAAATTAAATAATCTTTTTTATTTCACTTCTTAATAAATAAAAGAATATATTTTTTTTAGTTACAAAATCATTCTGATATGCAAGTTACATTTAAAATTGATTTACTAAGTCTTTCCATGAATAATCGATATAAAGAAAATAATCAAAATGTATGGACAAACTTTAACGATGATAAACATTTTCTTGGTAATACAATACTTTTTGGCAATGATTAAAGATAAAATTAATTTTTATTAAATTTTTTTCAAAGGTCCACAAAATTTAAGTGGTCGATCAGTATTTGATTTATCACCCATGGAAGGAGTTATACAAGCTGGTAGATCTTTTTCACTTTTGCAACGTCAAATAAGATAATTAATTTATTTTTATATTTTAGGAGGAAAAAAGACAATATCAATTATTTTTAGTCCCGATCATGAGAGTGATTATTTTAGTGATCTTGTTCAAATTACAATTTCTGATCAGGTATGAAAAATCGTTTGATCTGATTTCTTTTCCTTTTTTTATATCTTTTTGTTATTTATTTAGCCTACAAAACTTGAATTTCGCGTACGAGGAAGTGGAAGACAAAGTACAATGTATGTTAAATCTATTGATCAGTCAAATGTTCTTCAAAAATCACTACTGCCAAATATAGAAAATATTTTACAAACAATTTCAAATGGTAAATAATAAAAGTGTATGGATATATTTTAAAAGACAAATATTCATTATTTTATTTAGATCCAACTGAGAGAATACAAACAAATATTCTCGTTGTTTTACGGTCACAATATATTAATGGAAAATATATTCAGGCAGAAAAAGAGGTGATTATTGGTTGTTCTACAGTGACCATTGGTCCTAAAAAAGTGAGTAACTAACGAATCAATTAGGAAAAAAAAAGATCTGAAACATGGATGATATTACAATTATTTCTTAGAATGGTGATTTTACCTTTGATCCAACCAAAGAAATTAATCAGTTCGGTTTTAATGTCGATATAACAAAGGTACAAAAATTCTGTTGTTTAAAAGTACATAAATACAACAGTTAATTTATATTCTTCTTTTAAAAGAGTACCGTTGAAGTTGGAACAGAAAAAATTGTAAAAGTTACATGGTTACCGCCCGCAAACTTTGAAGTAAAAACATTACTTAATTCTCTTAATTTTCATTTCTTTTAATTTTCAATATTTTTTAAAAGGCAAATGAAACAAGTCGAACAAGTATTGGTTTGACGACCAAAGGGGATGTGATCAAATATTGGAAACTGATAATTATTGGTTACATTGAAACTTCACCAGATAAACGTTCATCAAGAACAACAAAACGTACAGGAACAATATCAAGGACATCCGCCGTTCAAACACGAACTGGAAGAGGAGGAAACGAAGAAAATCAAAAAGTGTCAAATTCAACAGTATTTGTAGGAACAACATCATAAATTAATTTTCTCTAATTTATTCTAGAAATACATGTAGATTGTGATTTTTCTGCATCTGTATTTTTCTAGTATTTTTATATCTTACATAAAAAATTCCAAAAATCTTTTTCCCTAGCACTTTACATTACAACCGTATGTTATCCGTATAAAATTCAAGCAAAAAAAAACTAAGTCACTAGAACGCAGTGAAAAATAACTAATATTATCTTAAAAATGTTTGCCGTAAATTGTATGAGCAGACAATCTTATAAATGTCAAATTTTACTGTTCTTCTTCTTCTTCTTCTTCGCCTCCTTCCTCTTTTTCTTCGTCATTTTCCCCTTGTGGCTCTTCTTTTTGTTCTTCTCTAGGATTTTCCTCACGCGGTACCTGAGGATGATGTTCCTCACGCGGTACTTGAGGATGGTGTTCTCCCGATGATGATTGTGTAAGTGTCCATAATTCTCTGTTAGTCTCGGATGTTTGATTATCAAGTGTGAAACCATTTTTTCGAAGAGCAGCTAAGACACTTTGAGAAGGTACTGAGCATAAAACACCTTGCTCATCGTCGCACAATCTTTCATTTCCGAACGATTCTTGTAAAATTCGAATGATTTCTGGAGGAATTTTATAACCTGGGACTCCGGTTGAATGAACTAATGTTGGACCAGAATTTGCTTGCGAAGAATCACATGAAATAGTGAGAGTTACCATTTTTAATCTCTTATAAAAAAAGAATTATGTTATAAATATTGATATAAAATGTTCAAACGAACTAAACAATAATTCTTACGTTTTTCAGTGGTTCTAATCTTTCCGAGAACTTTTTTTAGGTTCTTTCGACCTTGGCTATGTGTCTGTTTATAAGATGAAAAATAGACTATTTCTATTTTTTTCTACATCATGAATAAATGCAAATATTATTCTTACATTTTTCTTTCGTTCTGTAATGATAGTCGTAACAGATTGCCATAGCTTTCAAACATGAGATATCTATGTAAGTAATACTATCGTCTAGCTAAAAAAGGCAAACAACAGTTTACGTGTGTTGTTTTTGCCAAATAACTCTATTTTTATCGTTCTTTGAATATTAATCAGCAAAAAGCTGAAATCTCTCTTTGTTACTAGGGAATTAGCAAACAAATTAGATTCTATAAGTCGATTTGTAATCCACTTGTGATTCATAAAAAAAATGAATATAGTAGAAATTAGTTTTCATTGAAAATTGCATTTATCAGACAAAAAAGTAAAATCATATATTTGTATGGAGAAAAGAAAGGACAATATACGTATTGAAATTAAAAAAGGGAGCAAAAATATATGTAAGTCATAGATGATAAGTGATCTATTATATTTATAATTCTTTCTATGATTTTCTACTCTTAAGTTTGAGACGTATCGTAAACAAACGCAAAATTATTCCGATTTTGTTTCCTTCTATCGTTTCTATCATAACATAAAAAAAAATGGTATGAAAAATAGTACTAGTTATTCCCTCGGTCATTGTTTTTTCTTGCTTCTCTAACCAAAATAAGAACAGAAAAAAATAAAAAGAAACAAAAAAGCAAAGATGTTCCTTAATGTTCGTATAAAAAAATATAGGCACACACATATTTAAAATATTGAAAGACGATATAAACTAATATTGGAACACGATAAATACAAATATTTTTAAATCTTTTGACTTGTTTTTATTTTGTATAGACTACGGATTATTTTAAACCAGCAGAGCAGGGAAATTATTTTAGAGATAATTACTTTCGAGAAAATTTCATTAGAACAAATTTCCCCCAATCTCTTATTGTCCTTGAAAAGTATCGTTTCCAGAGTGATACATTAGCTAATATATGCGTATATTATCAATTACTGATTGAACATCTCTTATCGATAGGCACTTTGAATACGCTAGTCATTCCCTGTTCTGCTGATTTGAAATAATAATCCATCGTCTATACTAAGTACAAACCAGGATTGGGGTAAATTTGTTCAATTTGTTCGAATGAAATTTCCTCGAAAGCGATAATCGCGAAAATAATTTTCTCGAATGAAGTTTTCTCGAACAGAATTTCCTCGAATGGAAACCTCATCGAATTGTTCAAACAGAAATTATCAATATTATTTACAGTGTATAGAACGAGACAAATATTAAACATGAGCTACAGATAGATATTTCAGCTACAGATAGATAAATACCAAAAAGACACCTAAACGTATTTCAGTTATCTATCAATGAAACTGTAGTTGCATAAAATAGAAAGCATTCCCCCTCATAATTGCCAGTTTAATTATCTGTTACATATTTTAACATCAGTGATATTCACTGATGTAGACTTTTACTTCCAGTCATCTGTAAATTCATATTAATAATACATTCATTCATGTTTTTTTCGTACGTCATAAATATATGTGTAAATAAACTAAATTTATCTTGTAAATACCTGTTCTTTGAAGAACTTATCCAGGAATACTTATCGGAGACAACGAAAAGGGCATCATCATGTTTTTCGTCATAGTATTTGAGGGATAATTAGCACAAAAAGCTTTATCAGCACTAATAACTGGTTCACGTCGTATTTCGTTTGGCTTTGAACATGTTCAATGTTTGACAGTGAATATGTAATAAAATATTTAGAATTGCTTCGAAAATTTTCAGCTATATCGTACCAAGAAAACTAGTCACTTTGCTTAAATAGAAACAAAGAGATTGTGTACACATGCTTTTACGATGAGTAATAGCACTGATTCACACAACCAAAATCGATTTTTCGCACGAAACGTTACACAGAATGAATTTAAATGAATTTTTTTAAAAATTAATTTAAACAGATTTTTCTAAAAAAATTCTAAACAGATTAATTTAAATAGGTTATTTTCAAAAGAAAAAATCGATATAAATGAATTTTTCTAGTAAAACAAATAAGAAATCAATTTTTAATGTTTTTTTAACATTTTTAATATAAAAAAAAATCGATTTAAATTGATTTTTCTATGGAAAAAATGGCACATTTCTTCAAAAACTGCCACAATGGGGAGTGAAAAGCAATAAGTCTCTTGCGTTTCACTCAGTCGACTTAATGAATGATGAACCATAGTGGTATACTCTTAAGTAATTGAGACACGTTCTACTAAGCTCTTCGCTAGCATCTCGTACTCAATTCGTTGGTTTTCTTGGTTGCTTTGTACTTTCTTAACAAATGGAATTTTTTCATTGTATTCTAGAAATCGACAATAGATCTATTAGAGTACCCTGGACAAACAATAAATATATTTTTTCCTTACTTTTTGGCATTAATGGTTTCAATATTTCGGGAATAAGAACACCATCCTCAACTTGATAGTTTTCTAATATAGCGCAAATTGTTCGAGTTGTTGCACACATTGTTGCATTGAGCATATGA